GTAGGGTTGTTCAGCCAGTTTTGGACATACCGGGGCAAATTAACTGAAGGAAATATGCAGAAATTAACAAAAAAAAAATTGATGTTGATATTTTTTTTTACAGAAATAGTCCAATATGAAAAGCTTAAGAAAGTATATAAGCCAATTTTTAGTTATAGAAATTAATAGGCCATAACTTGTCAAGTTATGATTCATAATCATATAAGTTATAGATAAACTTGTCAAGTTATGGTTCATAGACAGATAAATTATAGACATGGAAGCGTTTGAATGATTCCTCCATGGTAATGTCGGTCCCACTCCCCTAGTGTGTCCTCTGCGCTTGCCCAAGACTTGGGACATAATCCTCTCCTCATCGACCGCCATGGCAGATGAACTTTCGCCAGCAAACTATGTATCTGCATGGTTCTCTCCCCCTCTATATGAGTCTGGAAAGGTAAATGAAAAAAAATGAATAAAAATAGTATAATATGTTATGTTAAATATGAACAAGAAATAAATTTAAAATTTACTTACAAATGTCTATTCAGCGTCCGGATTGACAAAACTCTGCCCATGACGATGCATGTCACCCCAATTGTCAAGTAATGATCTTAGCTGCTGCGTCTCGGGATTTGCCTAATCAAGTTAAATGTGTTAGAATAATTATTAAGCCAAAGTGACAAAAACTTAATAAGTATGCAAATTAGTATTACCTTGTCGAAACGATGCTAGGAGTATGACTTTCTACCATGCAAGCTAGACCACTTCTCACTGCCACTGTTTTGTTGATTTGTAGCAGATTTTTTCTAGTAATGATTATAGATGAATTAGTAACATACTTAATAATTAAATAAATTAATAAAAAAATAAGAAGATATAATGAAATTGAACCTGAAAAGCAGGGGACATAAAAGGATCGCAGTAAGGTCCCCATTCCCCAAAAAAGTTTTATCGTTCATGTTTTAACTTTATAAGTTTTATCAATTTTTATGACTAATTTATCCTATTATTGCACTCATTATTTTTATTATCCATTTAAAGATATCACTTTATTTTTAAATTTTTTGGACTAAATTAATAAAAATTTTCCTTATCATTTTTTTAAGTTGTAATGTTTATGACTAATTTTTAATTTACTTTCTATTAATGTAATTAAATCTTATTAATAAAATTCTTAAAATTAACTGGTTTTAATAAAATTTCGGCAGCATAACGACTTATTTTTCCTATTATCTAAAAATAAAAAATTATAAAAAAACAGCTTTTAAAAGATTTCGGCACACCATAACTGTAAGATGTGCCACCCAGAATAATCATCAAAATTTTTAATCTTAACCTAAATCAAATTACAAGCATATTTCACAAAATAACACCCCAAGAGATTCACACACACTTATACCAAATTTTAACAATCCCAAAATTCATAATCCAAAATTCAAAATCTATAATCTAAAATTCAAATTATATACTAATTCTAAAATCTATAAATCAAAATTCAAAATTCAAAATCTATAATCCAAAATTCAAACAACAAAAAACCTAAACATTTCAAACTAAAAAATACAATAAATATGCAAAAACAACTTACAAAGTTCTAAACCCACTAAAACGGTGGCTGAAAATGGCATAATTAGGTGGGAGGAACTGGGCAAACGATGACGGCAGCGGCATAATTTGGCGACGAGGGTAAGGAGTTTGTTTTTTATACTTCTTTTGATGAAAAAAATAATGAAAATGATTAAAACTTATGATACATGTTGATTTGGTGAGGATTTAGAAGGGAATATGAGAGGTTTTGGGGGTTTAGGGTCGGAAAACTGGGGAGAGACCGATAGAGAGAGATAGTGATCGGCAAAAATAGAGGAGGAGTCTCTGGTCGCGGGTATGTAGACAGACTTTTTTGCAACGACATTGCAACAACTATTTGTGACGACATTATGCACTTTTTTCGCGAAGGAATTTATTTATGACGACACTATTTCATAGTTATTACAAATAATCTAATTAATCAAACTTAATTATTTAGTATTTATGATGAATGTTCTGGAATTATTATTTGCGATGATATTATGCACTGTCATGGCAATTAGTTTTTGAGAACCGCCTAATTTTACCGTCATTTATTTTCGTGAGGGTCTACAAAATCAGCATTTGCGACGATACATATTCGTGTCGTCGCAAATAATTTTTAGGAACAGCCAAATTGACCGCCTTTTTACTCAGGGGACAATAAATGAATGAATTATGATTAGAATTGATACGTGTCGTTGCAAATAATTCTTTATTTACGACGACATTTCGTCGCAAATAATGTTATTTTGACGGCAAACGTTGGCACCAGACAACTTTTTTTGCCAACAACATATTTGTGAGGACTAGTGAATGATTAGCGCCGACATCATTTTTCTATTAAACGATAAGTAATTGTGACGTTATTTCATTGTAAATAATTAATTATATGCGACGACAAGTATCATCACAAATAATTTCGTCACAAATTGGGCAAATTGTAGTAATGAATGCTGCTCTATTGTCGTCATAAATAATTTCGCCACAAATTGAGCAAATTGTAGTAATGAATGCTGCTATACAATTTAGTCTTTTCACAGTATTTTGATTTTTTTTCTCGCTTTACTTTTATTAACACAAATTTTCTTTTTTGTCAAAAACTGCACTCAAGTTTCCATAGAAAAAAAAGGAAAAAAACTGCATTCAAAACGTTGTTTGCCACCGTGTAGTGGATAATCTTTGTCATCACTCAATGGGTTGTTGTTGTCCTTCTGTTTGGTTGAGGCCGGAGACAAACAAATGGGATTGTTCTTTTACATTTTTGAGTTAGGGTGATTTGAGTGATAATCTTGAGTTGAGTTTGAGTTATAATTTGAGTTGAAGTAGTAACTTGAGTTTGTGTTTGGATGTACACATTTGAGTTATGATTTAAATTGAGAACCTATTTGAGTTTGTGTTTGGGTGGGTCAAAACTTAAATTTGTATTTAGATAGTATTTTAATAAAAACTTAATGGTGATGAAAAATTTTAATAGGGTCTATGGGTGGTGTTTTATTCATCTTTTCGTTGTGAGTGCATAGAAAAAAAATCATCTCAATCACAATTAAAACGAAAAAGTTATGACATTTTTAAGAATAGAAAAAATATTGTTCATTAACTTGAGTTCGAGCTTATGAACTTGAGTTGAAGGGAAAACTTGAACTTGAGTTTAAACTCGAGTTCAAACTCAAATTTTACAAAAGAATATGAACTTGAATACAGTTGTAACTCGAATTTAAACTTTTTCTGAGTTTCGTTGCAAAAGAACAACCCCAATATGTCTTGGACAGTGTTTTTAAGATTATTTGAGTTGCTTTAAATGAGTTGCTATCATTTTATTGAATATTGATCATTTTCAAATGGGTGTTTACAATTTAAAATTTCATAAAATTAATTTTTAGAATAAATATTTTTGCAAATATTTGATCTAAATTAAAAATATTGTCAATATATAATTTCTCGTAGAAATATCATAATTCAAATGTGATGAGATTTAATGAATTTTTATTTATTATAGTTGAAGAATATGTAATAATCATATTAACATTGTTAATAATTATTTTTTTATATCTTAAGATTTCATTTCATAAATCCCCCGATTTATTGACTATTTTCAATGTGCCCCGTAATCTTTTTCAATACGTTTCTGATAGCGTGTCATGTCAGTAAATCCGTTAAACATATAGACAGAAATAGACGGAAAAAATATTTTGAATGACTTCTTAATATGAATGAGTGCTCAGAATAATTTTAAAAAATTGTGGACACTTTAACAAAAAAAATGCACATTTCATAGGACATTTATGAAAATAATCTTAAAATAAATTCAATCAAATGTCTACCTAAACATTATTTCTTTTAAATATTATTTTTTTAAATATAACCCTAATAAATATGTTTCTTTAATTGCCCTGCCGATACCATTTCTACTCAAAAGTCTCCCTACCTATCTCAATTGGAAAAGATAACGATGATTCTGAGTAAATGAGTCCCATTTCACAAATCATGGATAATGTGTTATCTTCACGTCTCACAATATTGACCAAATTGTTGAGCTTTTCTTTTAATATCAATTCTTTTCTACCATTTTTGTCCAATATTTTGTCTGAGAGTAATTATTGTGTTTGTGCTGTCAATAGCCAGTCCTCGCACGTCTAATCTTTCGGTTCGCTTTAGTTGGCTACTTTTTAAATTTTTGCGAAAAATTCAAACACACCGAAAATGAAAGCGAAATAAATGAAAAATGTGGGAAAATGATTTTCTTTCATGCCCTAGATATTCTGGGCTTTTTATCTTTCCGATTTTCAAAGACAATTTAGAAAATGCGACCTTCAATCATGATTGAAGCGTAATCAAAAGTAGAACTTAAGAAAAAACAGAGAGAGAGAGAGAGGACTGGTGGTTTGGATCGGTTTAGCGCCTGCATTGCTGGGCCTGTTCAAGTTGCCATCAGCTCATTTGGGCCTGGCTAAATGAAATAAAAATAGAAGAGAAAGAGAGAAATAAGACTTGAGATCAATTAAAATTAATAGGTCAATAGTTTACATAAATTAATAAATAAGTTAAATTATTATTTTTGTTCATAATTTGTCTGGTTATAAACCATAACTTGACAAGTTATTCTTAATTTTTGTCTATAACTTGTCTGGCTATGAACCATAACTTGACAAGTTTGTCAATAATTTCTCTGGTTATGAACTATAATTTGATAAATTATGGCTTATTAATTTTTATAATTAAAAGTTAGTTCTCACAATATTGACCAAATTGTTGAGCTTTTCTTTTAATATCAATTCTTTTCTACCATTTTTGTCCAATATTTTGTCTGAGAGTAATTATTGTGTTTGTGCTGTCAATAGCCAGTCCTCGCACGTCTAATCTTTCGGTTCGCTTTAGTTGGCTACTTTTTAAATTTTTGCGAAAAATTCAAACACACCGAAAATGAAAGCGAAATAAATGAAAAATGTGGGAAAATGATTTTCTTTCATGCCCTAGATATTCTGGGCTTTTTATCTTTCCGATTTTCAAAGACAATTTAGAAAATGCGACCTTCAATCATGATTGAAGCGTAATCAAAAGTAGAACTTAAGAAAAAACAGAGAGAGAGAGAGAGGACTGGTGGTTTGGATCGGTTTAGCGCCTGCATTGCTGGGCCTGTTCAAGTTGCCATCAGCTCATTTGGGCCTGGCTAAATGAAATAAAAATAGAGAAGAAAGAGAGAAATAAGTCGAGACTTGAGATTAATTAAAATTAATAGGTCAATAGTTTACATAAGTTAATAAATAAGTTAAATTACTATTTTTGTTCATAATTTGTCTGGTTATGAATCATAACTTGACAAGTTATTCCTAATTTTTGTCTATAACTTGTCTGGCTATGAACCATAATTTGACAAGTTTGTCAATAACTTCTCTGGTTATGAATCATAATTTGACAAGTTATGGCTTATTAATTTCTATAATTAAAAGTTAGCCTATATACTTTCTTAAGCTTTTCATATTGGCCTATTTCTCACTATTTTCCTAAAAATAGTAGAGAATATTTGGAACACAAGTATGAATTATAGCTTTCCAGTGAAAAAATATATTTTGGAAACAATTGGAGTAAATATGCATACTTACGTGTAAATAGTTTATTTATTGATAAATTCTACGCGTAAATAATTTATTCACCGGTAAACAATGCATTTACACAGTAATTATTTATTCACTTCAATCGTTTAAACAATATATTATTTACTTTAAAAAGGTTTCAAAATATGCTATTTGTCTCTTTATTAACATTGATCTACGGGCGCGATTACTTTCATAAAAGGAAAAAAGAGATTTATGTTTCTATGTTTATGTCTAAATTTTAGTGGTTCAATTGAAATCAAGATTTTGGTCCTCTTAAAATATTTTTTCCACACAATCCCATATCAAAAGTGGGTTTCATAAAAAAAAAATAAAATAAAATAAAATTAACGACTCGTTAAAATAACTTTTTTTAAATGTGTCCCTAATTAAAGGTTTTTTTTTTTTTTTTTTTTTTTTTCAAACAACCTTCTGAATTACTATTTTCTCATAAACACATTTCTTTTAATTTGCCATTGTTGAGTAATATGTATGTGTATTTTCCAATGTGCCCCCACATGCTTAAACGTCTTTTCTTTTTCCTTCGCACTCGCAACTACTATTTTTTCGTGTATATATTGTACCTCCTAAATAATTTTTTTAATCTAATTTACTTTCTAAAATCTTTATTACCCAAATATGTTCTCCTCTTCTATAAATATATACTATTCATGATTCATCCAAATACATATTTTGATTGGAACGCCCCCAGTTCAGTACATTTTACTTAAATATATATTTTCACTAAACTAAACTCAAAAGAGTAATAAATTCAAACAAATAAACTAAACACAAATTCTATTCACGCATCAAAAAGTTCAATAAACTAATTAATATGAACATGCGAGAAATGCATTAAAATAGTTGATATTATGTCAAAGATAAAAAAAAACTAATTAATAATATCACGAGTTGATTTTGTTATTTTTTTTTTTTTAAATTTTAGTTTATGTCCTCTTGAAATAAAATATTGGCTCGCGTCTGCTTACGTCCCTATTTTTCTATACTTTACTAATAGAGTTTAGGAATACAACCTCTTTTCTATCTTTGACACTCTTTTACAAGTAAATAGATAATTTGTAAAAGAAAAGAAAAGAAAAATAAAAAAGATGCACCAATGGTGATATTACACCGGTTCTAGTATTCAGTTTCTATCTGCATTTCTTTAATGTAAGACTTCAAGACATTTGCAACTGATTTAGTACAACGTTTGAACCTAACATTAATGTATTTCTTTCATAAAGAGGTCAAAGAAGATCTCATTGGAGATTGTATAGGCTTACCATATTATGGATTTATTTCACTAGAGTCTTTTAATTGTTTGTTGATTTGTTCATTCTAATTTTTATTTTTTGTTTTCCACTCCAATAAAATCTCTCCACTTTAGGAGCACTCAATCAGGAAAAAAGTTGATAGATGTAAGATATTAAAAACCATTCACTAAACAAGCTTATCACAGTAGACAATGATGTGTGCTATAGAAATCTTAGGAAAGAATATACAGAAGAAAAAGAAAAAACAATCAGAAGTAACCATTTATAGAACACAGTACATTCTCAACACACAAGTTTATTTTCTTCAATCTGATTTTGAAGCAAGAATTAGAAACATACGTATACCATTGTGCTGATCTCAAGCTCCTGGAAAGATTAACTTCCTACAATCTGGGAGCGACACGAGGACGGTCCCACTCGGTGGCAATATGGTCGCGAGTAATTTCCTTCAGCGAGCGGCAACCGCTAAGCGCCATGGTTAGCTCAAACTCCTCCCGCAGCATCTGAAGTACTTTCCTCACTCCAGTCTCTCCTTCGGCGGCCAATGAGAATACCACTGGTCTTCCAATCTGATCAGGAATATAGGACAGTTAATGAGCACGTCAATAATTATAGCAACATTTTCATTTTTATCCCTGCATTTTAAAGTTATGAAATAAACATACATTGTATTTTGGATTGTATCATATTTATACCCCCCAGTACGTTCTCACCTTTTCTCAGTCGATGAATAATTTTGATAACTAAACAGACCTAAGGCCCTTAAAGATAAAAGAAAGAAAAGGAACAAGAAAAAAAAAATGTATATATATATATATATAATTCAAAAATGTGAAGGACATTTAGGTCTTTTTCAAGTCAAAATCAAGCTTTGACTAGAAAAAGATTAGGATCGAACATAATTTGAAAACATGAAAGTAGAGGTTTGATACAGTTTTTTTTCTTTTTCTTTTTCTTTTTTTAAAGGTATGATTGATAACTTCAAAATGCAGGGTATAATAACATTGAAAAAAAAAAAACTATAAGTAAATGAAAACCTCTATAACAATGTCATGTGAAAAGAAAGCACACAATTTTTCTTGGATACGAGAACTTTTTGGCATTCATAACTAGTAGTTATAGGATAATACTGATGTTGGTATTACAAATAACTTTGGTAATTTGGTACTGTTTCACATTCTCTATTTTACTTACAAATATGCCAGATGCTCCAAGAGCCAATGCTTTAAAGACATCTGTTCCTCGCCGAACACCGCCATCCACGAAAACAGGAACTCTGCCTTGTGCAGCTTTCACCACCTAAAGTGTTAAATCAATGGGAAAACATTAGAATGTTGTAAGTGAGAAATTAGTATGCTAATAAAATCTGATGTTACCTCTTCCAAAGCCATAATAGTTGCCGGGACATAGTCAAGTTGGCGGGCTCCGTGGTTCGAGACAATAATTCCGGCAGCTCCAGCTTGTATGGCTAACCTTGCTGCATTGTCACATCAGAAAAAACTCTAAGAAATATGTTGCCAGAATGTTGGAACTTCCAAACATATCGGAACAACAAAACAGATATGGGGAAAAACAAAAGTACAGAGGACTGGTATGTATTTTCTTACTGTCTTCAGCAGTAATGACACCCTTCACAAGAATTGGCAGTTGTGTAATTGTCTGAAGCCACTGCACATCCTGTACATGTATACAAGAAACTTAGAACCTGTTTGGCATTGCTCTTGCTTTTAGATAGTAATTCTATTGTGATTAGACACATTTTATAAGATCTTGATGAAATAAAAATAACATTTGAATCTTCTAATAATCAACAAACAACATGATATAGTGAAAATTTTAAAGACTGCATTAAACTCTAGTACAAATTTTAAAGTCTGGTTAAAAGAGTTTTTTTTCGAGAAGCCATAAAATATGGCTTTGACTGAAAACTCTTTTGAAAAGTTATTCAAACACTTCGAGAAACAGTTTTTGCCTTGGAAGTCAAAAGCAGCTTTTAGAAAGTATGTCAAACATGTCCTTAGAACTACTCGTTCGGAGAGAATCCAAAAAGTACTTTGTAAAGAAGAATGTCGTACCTTCCAGCTGAGAGTCCTGTCAATTTGTCCGGCGACATATGATGCCAGTCCGGAGTCATCAGCCTGCAACATTCATGAGAAAATACATTGACCTCAGATTAAAAATCATAAAAGGATGTTATTGCTATTGTAATAGAAAGTTGCATAGTTACTCGCCTTGTCCATTTTTCCAAGATCCAAACCTTCAAAGTTTTTCAATGTCAAAAATGGTGGCAAAGTGAATCTGCAAAAGAAACACCAAATATTTGTTAGATTCTCATTGATTATATCACCAAACTCGCAATTTGTATATAAATAGACGGTCTAATACCTATTCTTGATATCGGCTTCTCTGCGGCCGAGCCTTGGAGTGTCGACAGTTAGTGCAATTGCCTTGAAACCAGCCCTTTCAGCTCTTCTCACAAGCTGTGCGACCACATGCCTGTCCTTGTACACCTGAGCAACAGCAAGAAAAAGGGATGACACAAAATATAAGGGAAATATGCCACAAGGAACTTGTGTTTCACATCTTAACAAACATTTGATTCCAAATTTAGGAATTCAAACAAATAATTTTTTCAAGGATGACCACATGGCTGCCCCATTACATGCCCAAGAATAGGTCAATTAGTAATATTCAAAACTTTCCGTGAATTATCAGTGCAGAGGAAGAATGCTAAAACTAAAAATAAAATAAAATAAAAAGATCTTTCAAACTTACATAGAGTTGAAAGAACCTAATCCCGGGTCCAGTTGAAGCGACCTCTTCGACGCTGGAAGTGGCCCACGAAGATAGAGTCTAAAGCAACCAATGTTTCAAGACTTGAGTGAACCAGACATTCAAAAAAAAAATTTTTAATCATCACAATAAACATACTAATAAAAGAACAAACCATAATTGTGCCAGCAGCTGATGCTGCTCTTGCAGTTGCATACTCCCCTGCATATATAGAGCATCGCATAGTAGTGTCAGCCATAATTCACCCTGTTATTTTCTTGCCTAAGAATTGCATGAAAAATCGATGTGCATAATATACTTTTTCTTCTTTCCACCAAGTAATCTAAATGTTAAAAATGAAGTGTGAACTCTAGTGCTTGAATCATGCAACTTTTTGTTAGAAATGAACAACTTCATAAATCAAAGAGAAAAGGAACATCCTGCCTCATACCCTCAGGGTGAGCCATTTTCTGCATGGCTGTTGGAGCAATCATGATTGGCATTGAGATTTTGAAGCCCAGGACAGTTGTGGTCATGTCGATCTTGCTCACATCGATTAGAATTCGAGGTCGAAACCTGTTTGAATTAGAAGGGGAAGGTTACATTTTGCAGAAAAAGAAGCATAAACACACTTGATTGAGAATTACAAAACATATACATAGTTTATAATCAGCTACCAAAAATAAAAAATAAAAAATAATGAAAAAAAAAGAATGGAAGTGGTTACAAAATTCTTGAAAAGGCATTTCGGTTTTCTTGGAGACTCCACTGGTCCTCTGCACCAGAGGCATAGTAGTCATAAACCATCTTGGGCAATTTCTGCTTTGCAATTGCCTCATACTCGCTAACATTAGTTATTTCCATCTTCACAACTTCTTTATTCTATTACTTGGATTTTCTGCATAGTGGGGAAAAAACATATAAATTTGTGTTAGATTCTCTAAACAAAATAAAAAGCTTAAACGTGCAAAATTGTTAATTTTTTTTTTTTTTCCTTTTTTGCTCAAAAAATGTGCAAAATTGTTCACTGTCTTGCAAGAGTATAAAGTCACTTGCATATATCAAATAATCAAGAAAAACATTTTTCTATCCTAAAATATTATACAGTGAACATTAAACCTGTGTTTGTCAAAAGGTTTACACCACAAGTCAAAATTTTTGCTACATCGTTTTCTCTCATAAAAATTTAAATCTCCGTTCAAATCTATGAACTAAACAGGCTATAAAACTTTAGTAAAGAAATAACTAGATCAAGTCTGATAAAAACATAATTGTATTAGGTGCGTGGAGTCTAATCATTGTCCTAACACAGACGCGTGAGGTGTGTAATTCAATTCTTATATTTTTAAATCTGCAGCTGCTGATAATAAACATCTTTCTTATATAGACCATGAAGCACTATAAATTTAGTATGTTATTTTTTACGTAAAACGCCACAAGACCAATGAGAAATCAATACTCTCCTAACTTGTCATGCTTCTTCCAGCTACAAAAGCTCAGACTTTGCACCAATCAAAACTAAACTCTATGTATATGAATAATTTAAGACTACGAGTAATATACACTATATTTGAAGCTTAAATAAACATTTTGTATATAGAAAACGCTAAGCCAGTGACTGTCATAAATGTAATAGTGATAAAACTAAGAGCAGACCTTGTGGCTCTCCCACTGAGGAGGAGAAAGAATGTAGAGAGAGAGAGAGAGAGAGAGAGAGAAAGAGGTACTTTGAAGAAAATGAAAAGAAAGAGAGAATGAAGTTTCAACTTAACATGGAAAGAGAAAGAATGAAGTCTCAACTTAACATGGTGATAGATACAAACAAATAACAGTGAGAAAGAGAAAAATTGAGGTGGAATATTGAAGAAACAATGAAATAAAAGACAAAAGGGCATGAAGGAGATAGAGTCTCTAAGTGGATTGGTTTTTCAAGGTGAGCATTTGAGACCATATCTGTTAATTTTGAGACTTTTTTGTGGAGAGCATTTTGTTGATGTTCGTTCCCTTATAATATTATGATATTTTAAGAGATAATAGGAAAAAAAAAAAAGTTGTGGAAAATTAGTATTTATATTTGTCCACAAATTGCTGGTGATGAGGCATTTTCCTTCTTTGATGACTGAATTACATGTGGCATTGTTTATTGTGGATTTGTGGTCTATGATTTATCATATATGGCAAGATAAGCAGCTGCATTCATGGCAAATTTAAACCATCAGATTTTAGGAAATAAAGGAAACATTATATCAAGGACTTGGTAGAAAAAAAATTTTAATTTAAATGTTGATAGAAATCATATTGTAAATTAGACATACCATATTTTACCTTTGCATCTATCGTTTCCACTTGAAGTTTCATACATACACGTATATATATGTATATATAAGGATCTTAGCAGAAATTATCATCCACAAAATTGGTGAAATAACCAAATAATGCATAGAATATTGTGCCCCATATAGTTGCTTGTGAATTGTAACGCCCGTCACTTTCTAGTACCTTATATTCTTTTTCAAATAATAAATAAATGGAAGCTCGTAATAAATACGAGATAACCTTCAAAACTTCTTTTGGGAGAGTCCTGAACACCAAATCTTAGTTGTGTTCATTAATTGGTTGTGCGTGTCACATGCTTTTTTGCAAGTGGATCATATAACGGTTAACCGCTACGAGAATCCAACCTCACAAATTTTAATAGGAATTATGGTAAAAGTATCTGCTGTAATTTTTTTTTTTGCCTTTTTTAAGTGTCAAGTTTCAGAAAAGGAAAAAAGAAAGGAGCATAATTCCACTCTTAATATGTAGAATATCAACATAAGAGGCCTAAAAGTAAAACAGCGTTTTATTTTCCTGGAAATTATGTTCTCCGATTGTGGACAATAATCCTCCAATTCCAGCAGAAGATAAGGTGTACTACCAAAACTTAAAACAACCTTACGAAAAGAAAGAATACACTGAAGAAGTAGCCATTTGGAATATGGTAAAACTCTCAATACAGAAGCTTATTAAGTTCTTCAATATGATTTTGAAGAAATAATTACGAGACAAATATGCATATCTTCCTGCTGATCTCAGGCTCTTGAAATCCTCTCTTTCCACTGCATCATAATGCAGAACTTGGAAGTATTAACATCTTACAATCTGGGAGCAGGGGTGATTCGAGGGCGGTCCCATTCGGTGACAATGTGGTTGCGAGTAATCTCCTTGAGCGAGCGGCAGCCACTAAGCGCCATGGTTAGCTCAAACTCGTCGCGAAGCATTTGAAGTACTTTCCTCACTCCGGCCTCTCCTTCAGCAGCCAGTGAGAAGACCACTGGTCTTCCAATCTGACATTAAGGACACCGAGGATAGTTAAGGAGCATGCCAAGATTCACATTATAATCAACTTTTTCTTTCAGATTCAGAAATCCCGGAACCATACTGAGCCTTAGAATCTTTGTCAAGCCTTAAACTCGTGGTTATCAAGAGATTCATGCTTCACAAACTTATGGACAATGCCTCAGTCCATAAAAACAAAAAGTGGCGGCATTCTTTACTTACAAATATGCCAGATGCTCCAAGAGCCAATGCCTTAAAGACATCTGTTCCTCGACGGACACCACCATCCACGAAAACCGGAACTCGGCCTTGTGCAGCTTTGACCACCTAAAAAGTCACCCCCAGTAAGAAAAATTAGAATAATCCCAATAAGAGGCTTCCAAGAAGTACTCTTACCAAAACCAGGAAAAATGTTTGCATAACTTGTGTAAGAATTGGGTTATGCAACAGTAGCAAATAATTCCTAAAAATAGCTAGAAGCGGGCGATTAGTATGCCAATCAAATATGATGTTACCTCTTCCAAAGCCATGATAGTTGCAGGGACATAGTCAAGTTGGCGAGCTCCATGGTTGGAGACGATAATTCCCGCAGCTCCATTTTGTATGGCTAGCCTTGCTGCATTGTTACAGAAATTTTTTTTTTTTGAAGAACTATATAGTGAGACTATTCGAAATTATAACGAAATTGGAACGGGAACATAGATGAACGAAATATAGAGGGTTGGACTGTAAGTTGTTTACTGTCTTCAGCGGTAATGACACCCTTCACAAGAATTGGAAGGCTCGTGATTGTCTGAAGCCACTTCACATCCTGTAGATATACCCAATCGAAGAGAATTAATATTACTACTTCAGATTCTGGTCTTAATACCAAAACAGATACCGTACCTTCCAGCTAAGAGTCCTGTCAACTTGTCCAGCAACATATGATGCCAGTCCAGAGTCATCAGCCTGCAACATTCATGGGAAAATATATTGACCTCAGATTAAAACTAATAAAAGATATTATTGCTATTGTAGTGAAAATTAAAAAAATTATTTGGTTACTCACCTTATCCATTTTTCCAAGATCCAAACCTTCAAAGTTTTTCAATGTCAAAAATGGTGGCAAAGTGAATCTGAAGAAGAACCACAAATATATTTGAGATTCTAATTATGTCATCAAAATTGGCAATTCGTATGGAAATAAATCATCATCTAGTACCTGTTCTTGATATCAGCTTCTCTGCGGCCAAGCCTTGGAGTGTCAACAGTTAATGCAATTGCCCTGAAACCAGCCCTCTCAGCTCTTCTCACAAGTTGTGCAACCACATTAAAACGACCAATATTTTAAAGGATCAAATGAGTCAAACATGTAAATGTTAGTTCAATCGTGACAAGAAATAACATTGGTAAGAGAGAAACCATTATTGTGCCAGCTGCTGATGCTGCTCTTGCTGTTGCATATTCCCCTGCATAAGTAATAAATTATAGTATCAGCCACAAGTCCCCTGGTTCTTTTCTTGCGTCACAAATGAAGCACTTTTCAACTAGGACTCTTCCAAACTAACAGGTTTTTACTTGGCAAATAACTTTTTCACATTTTGGGAACCAAGGATCAGATCTGGACCAAGCTCAGTTATGAATTCTAAGACCAGACACACAAGAACCAAAAGAAAAGATGAAAATAAGTTATATAGAAACAAGCATAGAAAAGAACATCCTGGCTTATTATACCATCAGGGTGAGCCATCTTCTGCATAGCAGTAGGAGCAATCATGATTGGCATAGAAATCTTGAAGCCCAGAACAGTTGTAGTCATGTCAATCCTGCTCACATCGATCAGAACGCGGGGTCGAAACCTGTTTAAATTCAAAGGAAAACTTAAATTTTGAGAAAAACAGAATACTAAACACACTTGAGAGTGTCCAAAAAAGAACTTAGACAATAATCTTCTGTAGTGAAACACCAAATTGGTCAGAGAAAGGACTTACAGAATCCTTGAAAAGGCATTTCGGTTTTCTTGGAGAGTCCACTGGTCCTCTGCACCAGAGGCATAGTAGTCATAAACCATCTTGGGCAATTTCTGCTTTGCAATGGCCTCATACTCGCTGACATTTGTAATTTCCATCTTTACAACTTTATGCTATTCCCGGAAGTTCTGCCCAGCAAAAATAAAATAAAGAAAAATTTAAGTTGGATTTTTTTAGCAAATTAAAAGATGTTACATGCAAAATTAATTGATTGACTTGCAGATATTGGATCAAGCAAGCCTTTTCTTTATCCTAAAATATAACACTATAGAACACTGGAAAATTAGAAAATAATTTAAGTCAAGTCAAAATCTAAACTTCATACAAAATTGATTAATGAAGCAATTTAAGGACGAGAAAGAGTACACTACAAATACTGGTCTTGAAAGCGACTAAAGTTTAAAATTCAAATTCACAATAAAACATTCCATAGATAAATAAAAATAATAAAATCTGGACAAGAATAAGCAGAGGAAAGAACCAGGGTCTCAAGTCCCTAGGAATTGCTGTTCCAAATCCAGCCTTTAAAAAACTCCACACCAAAATGGTCTTTTTATTTCAGACGCAAAGAACCATGAAAAATCAGTCTCCTGGCTAATATCTCATGCAATTCTTATAACTGAAACCCCACTAAACCAAAATTCGAAAAGCTATACGCTTTTGTTACAATCAAATGAGTAAGCATGAAACTGAAAAGAAACAGATACCGTGAAACATTGAATTGAAAAAAAATAATAAAAATAAAAATCAACCCATTTCAATATGAGAAAAGTTCAGTCAGTCACTGTATCAAACATATAATTTTCATGAAAACCAATGTGAGAATTTAATCTTCAAATGAAAGTAAACACAATATAGTGGAAACCCAAGTACAGAAATGAATCAAAGAGCAAACCTTTTTGTGGCTCTCCCAATGGGAAGGAGAAAGAAGCAGGTAGATAATACTTGGGAGAGAGAAAAAAAAATGGAAAGAAAGAGAGAGAATGAAGTCTCAAATTAACAACGTGATAGATACAAACAAAAAACAGTGTAAAGGAGAGTTTTTTTAAAAGGAAATAATGAAGAGCCATAAGGTAAGGACAAAAGGGTATGCGTCAGATGAGGGAGATAGTCTAGTGGATTGGTTTTTCAAGGTGAGCAGTTTTGCTGGATTTCAAGGTCAGCATTTGAATTTTTTTTTTCTCTCTTTTATGTGGAGAGTAATTTGTTGATAATCACTTCTCAATGTTTGGCATTCATTCTCTTGTATTTTCAGAGGGAGAAAAATGAGAAAAAAAAAAAAAAAACAAGACTTTAGAAAATTAGCGTTGTATATGACCACAAATTGCTCTTCATTTGGCAGTTTCTTTTCTTTGCTGGATGAATTACATGTGGCGTAGTTATGGTGGTTCATGATTGATCAAAAGACGGTACGTGACTGATGAG